ATATCCTATTATGCTTTTTACTTATTTATAATATAATTGCAAATATTTAATTGTATTATTGATTAACATCTGTATATGATTAATATTCTAGAATGAAGATTTGTTTGTTAATTCATCTTTTCACATTATTTAAACAAAAATAAAAAGTAAAATTGTATAAATCCATTAGATTTAAGTGAGAGATTCATTATAGAATACTTAATATTAAATGAGATTAAATAAAGAAATGTTTAAAAAAATCATTTTGATTAAATATTTAATAATTATCAAGATATTTCTCGATATTAAATTGTTTACAAGATAATATTTGAATAGTATTCAACAAACAATTATTATTTAACAATGAGAAACTTTTATTAGAATTCTTTAAAAAAAAATCTAAAATAATCAATAGCACTTCACTATAATGTCATTAAGTGAAAAAAAGAGAAAAATGGAAATAATTTATGATGGAAGATCAGCGCCATTTACTACATAAGGTCTTTGTCTACGATAACGTGATGATTGAATAATTATGGATTGAATAGGACTTCGTGGTGGTTGAAGAGGAATTTCTATTGGTAAATTTGGTCTTGATCGGTAAAATGGTTGAGGCATTGAACCTTGATATTTATCACAAAAATGAGGTATTGTCCAACATATCATACATGAAAGACATGATAAAAATAGAAAAGTAAGAGCAAATATTCCAATTAATAAAGCACTAAGAACAAATTGAATTTCTTGTTCTTTATTTCTATTAATTTCATCAGATAAAATTGGATGTTTAATATAACGTTGAAGAATAGCAATTGATGTTAATAAACCAAAAAAACAAAGTAGAATAGCTATAATTGTATATGGAAGTAATATATGAAATGATGCATGTGATTTTTCTTTAACAGCAATTAATGTAAAAATACCAACAGCTATTACAAATAAACCAATCCAAATACCTTTTCCAGAACTTGGCCAAATTGATTGTTCAGATTGTGTTATTGTTGATGATAATTTACTTAAATCTGCAGCTGTTATTCCAATTAAACATAAACCAAGAAAAATAATTAAACGAGCAAGACTTTTATTTACATGTAATTTTCTACGATCATGAAGAGAAGAAAAAACACGTATACCATAATAACTAATGTTAGAAAACAATCATATTCAAAAATAAGATCAAATTAAAATTTTACCGAAGTTCAACAACTTGATTCTGACTAAGAATATTTGATCCTATTGTGGCCATTGACTATTTGCTATTTAATTATGAACATATTGAATAAATTTTACTTTTATTTTTTTCACTTCTATTTTCTTTCAATCATTCATGCATAACAACAATCAAACATTCTGATTAAGATACTTGAGAAAACGTTAAAACAAATAAATAGACAGAAAATAAATAAAAATATTTTATCAATCATTATACAAAAGAACCATTAAATTGTTTTTTTTTTTTTGTATTTTATCAAACAACATTTTTCACTCAGTGAATAGGTTAGAGTAATGAATACAAAATGAAACTGTTTTTACGTACACTATGACCGAATATAATTCGTACAATAATTAATAGAACAAAATTATTTCATATATGATCATTTCGAATAAATAAACTATGTAGAAGAAAGAACGAGTTATATTTTTATAATTTATTTTTTGTTTATATTAAATGATGCAACTCTGTATGATTTTGTGTTCGTCTTATGAGGTTATTGACCAATTGTCTATCTACTTTTTTCAGTAAACATATATTGTTGTATACAGTTCATTGATCTAATTATGCAATAGATAAGACAAATTTTTTTTTTTTATCTTCTCATTTATTTTTACAAAAAAAACTTTTAAATATTCAGCTTGTTTTTCTTTCTGATGATGCATATTATTCATCGAAAATTAAGCTTGAGACTTATCTTTAGAAAAATTATCTCAATGGGTTTTTTTGTTCATTGATATACAATAGACTGGTTAAATAGTTGAATTGAATAATAAAAAAAAACGCCCTTGTTAAGAAGGATTCATCAGTAAGACAACTAGAATCTTTGAAGTCAAAATCATAATAGCAACCCATGTACAAAAATTTTTAAAAATCCACTTTTAACCCTTTCCAGCCGGTTTCTAGAAGTCAGATAGCAAAGAATTTTTTTTCTACATATTTTTTGTTGCTCTACCGTGGAGATAACAAAAAAATATATTTCATATAAAAAAAGTAATTCTGTACCCATAGGCATGATGTTGCCATTTGGCAACACCCGGCAGAAAAGGGTTAAAAATTTGAAAAACTTATTTTTCTTTTTCAATATTTTTCTTGCTGCTGTTGCTGGATTACTTTTGGTTGAGAGCGATTTTAAAGATACCCGACCGTTCTTTACTACGTGTAGCGCTGGACTAGATTTAAGAAAAGCCGTGGCAACGTCAATACGAAATGCCAACAAAGACACTGCATTGTGTTTTGGAATTTGAAACTGTAAGCATAAAAGCGATGCAATAATCAAGTATTCACTATTGACAGATCAATAAGATGAAAGATAATCATCAGATAATATTTTTGTGACCGACGGTTAATACGACATAGTAAAATCAACATTTCGATCAAATTAATTCCACTCATATGTTGGTTGTAAGCTTTTACAACATCTGCGCGTATGATTTGTGCATGTTTTTTCTCTTTTAACGACTATTATCTAACAGGATCGATGGGATCGCAACTATGCAATATTAAAAGAAAGTTTACGACATTATTGTCGCATTATCTTGTTATACAAATTTCGATCTCGTCGCTTTCGGTCATAGGATGGTTCCCTACTAATCGACCTTCACTTGACAAATCCTTGGCATTTTCATAGCCAAATCTGGTAATCAATTAGGTCCTACCGTACCGACAGAATAAATTTTTCAATCATCGGAAGGGCAAAAGATAGTGTTGCCTGCGTCGATCAGAGCGTTTCGAGAACTCCTCTTTTAAATGGCGCAAGGAACACCATGTTTTGGATTGATTATAGTAAAGAATTCGCTTGCTTTTTGTTTATACCAGTCAGATTTCAGCAATGGTTTTCTCCACTATTGTAAAGTCAAAATACAGCATTGCTCAGGCCATATAAAAGAGGATCCCTAAACCTTCTGACAGACTCGGACAACACTATGTTTTGCTCTTAACATAGTGAAAAACGCTTGCCGAAATCTCATTGATCGAGAAGAATAAGCTTCTAGCCAAGCAGATTTCAGCAAAGTTTTTCTTAGTTTCAGTATGGACAAAATATGGTGTTGTCTTGATCAGCCTAGAGATTAGGGAAGATATGGATGTGGGTTCATTTCAACACTAAAGTTATACCCACACCTCACGCTCATACCAACACCCTGACTTATTTTATCCGACTTCAAGCAGCACGAAAACTTTTCCAAAGACTAAGATACTTTCAATATAGTAAAAATAAGTGGTCACCTACACATCTACGCAATATTTCAAAGCCAAGAATAATATGAACATGCATAGAATACTGAGAAACAGTTCGAAACGTTCGAAGTACACCGTCCAAATCCAGAGTGAAACATTGTCCATGCCATAACAATAAAAATATCGTAAAGCTATCGATATTATGTACGGGCTGGAATCAGACATATTCGCATATGATTCACAGGAAGGACATAAAAATTTACAGATAGAACTATCCTCTAAAAAGAGTCCAATGTTTTCACGACTTTTACAGATGGATTTCGACCAGATCATTCTCACTTTTTTTCAAATTTGAACACGAATTTGGGGAATAACTTGTTCAAATTTCTGCCACCTGGACGTAAACATTAACTTGTGATACCTCGCATAAAACATTCTATTTACGTCTCCAAATATCCTCAAAGTGATAAGATACTTTTTCTCCGTCATTTGTATATGACGACCTAAACACAATTAATTGTCTACAAGGTAGTCTCTTTAGCTCAAAACTTTGATGTTCAAACTGTAATCCAACGGATTCCACAAGTATGCCTATGAAAGTTACAGATACCAAGCCAACGTAGAACTCAAAAAAGAGACAGGCATCTTGTCCAGATAGCGCCTAAAAAAAGTGATATGCATGATGTCCAGATAAGCCGCAAAAAGTTGCAGATATATTGTTCAGATAGTCCTCAAAAAGTTACAGATATAGCCTCCAGATAGGCCTTAAAATGGTACAGATATGATATCCAGATAGTACTCACTTTAATTAGTACTCAACTGATTAGTGCTAATTAGTTGAGTGCTAATTAATGTCAGCATTAATTGAGATGAGTACTAATTTATTTATTTATTTATAGTTACATAATGCTCATTATCCATGGCTCAAATTGCTGAAAGCCACTATTGACTATAAAGTATAAAACGTGGTCTGATGTTAATTGGTACGATATGGACTAATGAAAAGTGAGCTCGAAATTTCGAGTTTACGCAGTTTCGAGTTCACTTTTTTTTGATCACCTTCAATTAGGATACTTTACTCTCCGTAATCTATGGCAAAGTTTCATCAAAACGTCTACAAGGTGAAAAAAAATGGAAAATTCGCTTCTAATTAGTTGAGTTTTTGGCTAATGAAAGTTCAAATGATTAATCCATCCTTAGATTCGGATTTCTGACCTTTAATAACCTGTAGAAAAATATTACTAAACTGTCTTAACGCCGAAAAATAGAAAAGCTTAGTTCTAATTGGCTGAAGCGGACAAGCATACATACATTTTTTCAATGTAAGACCTTTTCTCTCAGCAAAGAGAATATTATTTTCGTCAATAAGTATTTTTTATTTTTAGGGCTTTGAACTTTTTAATTATTTAATTGAAACGTTAATCAAGTTGATGGAACAAAATCTCAAATGAACTTTACACTTAACGTTAGATTTTATGAAATAAAGTAAAGATAAGAGTAGATACATATATTTATTGACTGATGATAAGAATTGAGTCTTCTGCTGTTTGAAACACACAAAGAAAGAATGGAGTTTTGTCTGCAACCAGTCAACAGCTTTAGTATTTGTCTACATGGTCAACCTATTCTTATGCACAGACCAGAACAACCTCTGTTCTATGTTGGTACATGTCAATTATCATACAATATGCGTCTTGGTCATTTCGTCATCAGACATGAAATACAAAAGAAAATAAGTCTTCAAGTACAAACTATAAATGAGATCAATCCTTCTCAAGTCTATGAAATTTTATTTGCTGATGAAGCCAAATCATACAGTCTTCAAGTGAAATTTATTATAAATAATAATCGATTAGAAATTGAATTTCCGTCAACATCGACATCAAACTATATTCGATCAGTAATCGAAGGTGAAGAAATTATTAAACGTGATAAGAATACAATCGATGATAGTGATCAAACAAATTTATGGTTTTCATTAGAAGCATTACCATTCGATCAAGAAATTGTACGTGGTTGTGGTCTTCAATATTCTAGTGGTGATCTTAGAGGGAAAATTTTACCAATGTGGGTATCAGAATGGTATCATGATCTATTATGTCCAAATGATAATATAAATCCAAATGTTCGTCCTTCGTCACATACAACTTATCATCCGCAACCAATGTTTCATTCATCACGTGATTATACATTTTGTGCCTATGGATCCGCCTATGCTCAATTTGATTTTTCTGATGAAAAATTCCATCATTTTCATTTTGCTGCTATTCCTTATCGGTTGGAATTGAGTCTAAACGGTCCTTCTTCAATTTCACGTTTATATTTACCATTACCAGAATGGATATATGATGGAATTATTTTAAGTGTACAAGGTGGTACCGATGTGATTGATCAAAAACTACGTAGAATGCATGAATGTGGAACACGAATTGCTGGTATTTGGGTACAAGATTGGTGTGGAAAACGAATAACATCATTTGGTAAACGAGTCTTTTGGAATTGGCAATGGAATGAAAGTTGGTATCCGAATTTGAAAGAAAAAATTATTGAATGGCAACGTGATTATAATGGTTGTCGATTTTTAGCTTATATTAATCCATACATTGCTGTTGATGGTTCTTTGTTTAAAGAAGCAAATGAAAAAGATTTTCTTGTTAAACGATTTGATTGTAAAAATACAGTTTATATGATAGATTTTGGTGAATTTAACGGAGCAATTATTGATCTAACTAATCCACAAGCATTTGAATGGTATAAGAAAATTATACGAACAAATTTAATTGATTTAGGTGTATCTGGTTGGATGGCTGATTTTGGTGAATATCTTCCGTGTGATGTTCGTGTTCATGCAAATATATCTGGTTCATTGATTCATAATCTTTGGCCAATACTTTGGGCACGATGTAATTATGAAGCTATTCGAGATGCTGGAAAACTCAATGAAGTTATATTTTTCATGCGTAGTGGATATTTAAATGTACAACGATTTTGTTCACTCTTCTGGACTGGTGATCAATCAGTTGATTTTTCTCATCATGCTGGTCTTTCTGCTGGAATTCGTTCATGTCTTTCATTATCATTAAGTAATGTTCTTAGTGTTCATACAGATATTGGAGGATATTTTAGTCGAACACATGGACGTACTCGAGAAGTTCTTTTACGTTGGTGTGAAATGGCAACATTCAATATTGTTATGCGTACACATGAAGGTAATCGACCTACTTCAAATATACAATTTGATAATGATAAAATATGTATTGAATTTTTTGCTCGAATGAGTCGAATTCATGCTTATTTAAAACCTTATTCTCGTTATGTTGTTCAAAAAGCATATGAACAACAACAATCATGTATCATACCTCATACAGAATTACAATATTTTTTTGGTCATGATCTTCTCATAGCACCAGTTGTTGAAAGTAATGTTAATAAATGGAAAGTATCAATTCCAGATGGACAATGGATACATATTTGGACTAATAAAATCTTCGAGAAAAATCAATATGAAATTGATGCACCAATCGGTCAGCCACCTGTTTTCTATCGATCTACAACTGAATGGAAATCACTTTTTCAACAATTAAAAGATTTGTAAAAAAATATACTACTGAATCTTTTTTTTAAGAATCATGTAAACAATCTTAACATTATATTGAACAATTAATTTTTGTAGTACTTAAATAAAATTTATTTCAATATTCGTCAAAAATAATATTAATCAATGATTGTCGAACGTTCTATTTATTTCTATATCTTCTTGACGATTTATTAACAAAATCTCAAAATCTTAACGAATAGATCATAAATACTTCTATTATTTACTCTATTCTTCACTTGATTGAAACACTTTTCTTTTAATCAAAATATAGTGATTAAAATTTTGAACAATATACTATATTTTATTTAACGAATATACTCTCTCTTCCAGTTCTTTAAATCAAACATAATCTTACAGTAAAGTCAAATCATAAAATGTAAAAACTTTTTGTTTAACAGAAATTTTAATTTCGTTCACACCCACACCCTTTTTGACTGTAATTATATCAGTAAACCTTAACAACATTCTGATAACATCTAGTTTGCAAAATCAGCCCATTCTTTTTGTGAAGATCAGTCAGAGTTGACTTTTTGACCCTTTTTTATTTATGGAAAATAGTCAAGATCTTCATACGATAGGAGTAGTATGTGTTTAATTTCAACAGTTAATTTTTTTGTGAAGAATAAACATGATTTTATCTTTGACTTATTCAATAATGTTGAACATGTATGTAAATGGACTGTGATATATAGAGAGAGAGATATTACGGTTAATCATTTTTATCGAGAAATTATTTGTTTACTTGGAAAATATTCCATCTAAATCATAATCAATTTTTTTTTTGATTCAATGAAGATTTTCATTTTTTTTTTTTTTACAGTTGTTTGAATATCTTTACTTTTATGTTTTTGTAGAGAGTTTCAAGCATTATATTTTTATTAAAAAAAAAAACGTTTCAATCAAAAAAACAAAGAATAGAGAAGAAATTTTTTAAAGTACAATCAATACAATTATTTATGGTTCATCCATTAAAATATAAAACAATATCTTGTTCAATGATGATACTTGTTTTTACTAACGTAATGTTCTTATTATTGATATCTTCAATCTTTCATTTAATATGTATTGATGATGTTCAGTTTTTTTGTTTTCTAATTTTATTATATTGAAAAAATGTCAGAATCTAATTCTAATGAAATATTTCCAATCTCATTTGTAACAATTTATATATATGAAGTGAAAATATGTTTTATTTTTCAACAGTCTTTTCGATAGATTTTCTTTATTCTTTTCTTTCTAAATAAGATTTGTCTAGTTAATATCCTTTATGATAATTAAAAAAAACAAAACTTTTGTTTAAATCAATTTGATATATTCAAAAAACGAAAAATGAATTTAATTAATATTTTTTGATAGATTCATAAAGAACAAAAAAAAAAAAAAAAGTTTATTTTTGAAAATTCTGTTTTACGTGAATAAATGATACAAAAAAGAAAAAGAAAAAAAAACCGAAGATCATATGTTAAAGGGTGGATTACTATATACCTCACAAATGACAGCTAAGCAGTCAAATAAATCTTCATTTGTGTTTATTTATATTTGATTAATGTTTTCCTAAAGGAAAAACATTGTCTGTAAAGTAAGAATTATTTACAAAAAGAAAAACCAAAAAAAAAAAAAGAAAACACGAAACACAACTCAGAATATATTATCTACAAAATGTAAGAAATGATAAACCATAATCATTAAGAATCTATCGTTTTGTTTTAGTTGTTCGTTGTTGATCAGATTTAAATCTTTTATAATCCATATCGGTACTGTTTCGAGAATAATTATCTTGACGATCACGCTGTTTTTTTTTTAAACAAAACAAATAATAAATTATTTTAAATAAAAACGAAAAAAGAATTACTTGTGATAATGAATAATTATTATTATGACTTGTTGAAAACATTTGATGATGAGTTGAACCAGTCGGAGAATAAATATTTGTTCGAGATGGATTTTCAATTGTTATTAAACCATAATTAATTAAAGTTGTTATTGATTGAATTATTTCTCTTATATGTGGATCAACAAAACCAAGTGATTGTAATGAATGCTAAACAAAAATTTTTCTTTATTGATTTATTATGAAATTTAACAATCTTACAACAAGTGAATCAACAGTTATATGATTTGTTCCACCAGCATTCATCATTAATTGTGCTAATCGTTGTAAACCACTTAATTGAAGTGACATATTTGATGATGAATTCATTGATATTAAACCATTCAATTTTCCATGTATTCCATCTTATCAAATTATATATTTTACTTTTTTTTTTTTCAAATAGGAAAATAATCAATATGAAAACAACAACAACAATAAAACAAAATGACTCAAATCTATTTTTAAAAGAGTCAATTCGATCGGAATCAAATTTTTATCAATATAGATATTCAAATTCTTGTTTATTATTTTCTATTACTTTAAAATATATTGCTATTCTATTAAATCGATAGATTCTTTTGGTTAGAAGTTCAATTAAACATCAACAAGATCAATTATTTTACTTTTCGTATAGATCCGAATTGTAACAAGTATTAACAATCGCTTTTTAGTCTTACAAGGAAGATTCTCAAGTGTGACATGTCGTTTTTACCATCGAATCTATACCAGTTAGTAGAGCTCGAACCCCTAGGAAGGTATATATGAAAAAATCGAACCATGGAGTTTCGACCTAAAATTGCGCCCATTGATAAATCCCATAGTCTAAAAATTTCAGATGAAGTGTCTTTAACATTCGATATCTCAAGAGAAAAATATTCTTTTCAAATGAAATTTTGAGAACATTCTAAGCAGCATGAAACCTATCTATGAACAATATTTCACATCAAAATCCCATAATTCAATTTTTTCATGATATAGATCGAAAATTCAGTAAAAAGGTCATAACTCAAGAAGAAGAGCGTATGTGAATGAACCTTTTTTTGAACGCTTCGTCTAGTCTTATCGAGCTCTACTAACTGGTATAGATCCGATTGAAAACAGTACGTCACATTTGGGAATCTTCTCTCGTTATTGATTTCAATAGCTAAAATTATAAAGATATGTTTTTCTACATTCTATGAAAAATGTTCTAATTATTAATTCTAATAAATATTGAATAAAATAAAAATTTGAATACATACGATCATGAAATGATTGAATATCATTCATAATTGATGGAGGATTAATTGATGGAATTCTATCATTTGAATAATTAACACTTGGTACACTATCATGATGAGGATCTTCTAAAATTTTTTCTAAAACAATTTCCAATGCTTTTGTTCGAACTTCATCTTCACCTTAAAAAAATCAAATATTTATTAATCAAAAAAAAAAAAAAAAGTTAACAAACCAGTAATAGTCATAACCCTTTCTGGCATTTCAGATTTTGGTGTAATTGTAAGTGAAGCATTTGTATCTTGTTTAATATTTTCAATAGTTGAACCACCTTTTCCAATAATAACTCCAGCTGTTGCATTTGGAATAATTAATTTAGTTTGACGTGATCGACTAAGATCACCTGGAAATGTTTCTTTTATTTTATCTGCTAAAAAATCATAAACAGATAAAACATTTGTAATTGTTCCAACAACAAGACAAACACGTTCTTGTGTTCCAGGAAAATAATCCTTTTTATTTTTAGAAATAATTATATTTGATTATTCAAAAATTAAGAAATTTTTAATATAAAAACTTACTCCTGCTTTAGACATTTTCATTTTAGTACTTGTTTCTTTTTGTAAAGAAGCAATTCTTTCACCACCTTTTCCAATAACACTTCCTGTTGTTGTTCCAGGTAAAAGAAATTTAATATGAACTATATTTTCATTTGAATCATTTAATTGATTTGTTGACGGATCTTTATCATCATAATCTTGTCTATTATAATGATTATTACGATTATTACGAGATGAACTTGATGATGATGACATTTTTTTTTTTTAACAATTTACACTTTACTTCTATATTACAAATAAATAAACAACATCAATTTTTATAAATGATTATTCATTCGTTCGCTTTTTTTTTAATGGTGACATCATACAACAATTGTTTAACAATGAACACCTCTACTATATATTATTTATATGTATAGAGGACGCTATATATCGAACATTATATTTGATTTTATTTTCAAAAGAGAACTTTTTTTCATTATCAAACAAAAATATCTTATTTATTAATATGATTAACTTTAGAAATAGTTCAATATTGATAGAAGATCATATTTTTTATTCATATTGATTTTGTTCTTTTTTTCCTCGAATATAATCAAGTTAACTAATCAATTCAATAAAAAAAAAAATTTTAACAAATAAAACTGATAGAATTACAAGTAGAAATCCACGAAGTCAATCAAAATATTTTGATATTATACGAAAAATATCCATAAGTCTTTCAAACATAATCAACTAGAACTCAATTAATCTTTTAGAAAATATTTTCTGTTTGTTTATCATTCATAAATATTGAATATTTATATATATATATTCAATATGATTCTTTGATCTGAAAACTAATTTAAGACATGGCAGAGTTTTAGAAATTATCTATAAAATTGTTCTATATATTTAAATAATTAATAGGACTCTTAATGTTTTTTCCATTTGTATAAATAATAATATAGTACGTAGCTAAACGATTTTTTATCGAACTTGATCATTAACTAAATTGACAAATTAATAAGAATTTGTTTCTTTTTTATTAAGACATTATTTATATTCATAATGATTTTATTATATTTGTTTAAAATTGAATGAGAGAATAGGTTTTTTTTAAAATTGATTCTAATTCATTTATTAAGAATTATCTTATTTTTTCTTTTGAAAAAAAAATTTGAGAAAAAAAAAATTGATTTTCTTATTCGAGTATAAAATGTCAAACTTTAAGACAATGCATTTGCGATAAACAATCATATATATGATCTTTTATAGATAATACATAAATAAATCTGACTATAACAATGTTTTTTAAGAATTTGTCTCATGAGAAATAGATTTGAATAGTAATAACATCGATTAGA